AAAAAAAAAAAGTGATCACAAAAGATCTAAATGACCTGCGACACATTAAACAAAGAGAAAAAGTAAAAGACAAATGATTCATACTTCACTTGTTGTGGACTTATAATACAAGCAGATGTCTCTATGTTATCTTTTTGAGCTACAAATAACCTCTGCAAGAAAACAGAAAAAAGAAATACAGATTGAGATGCAAGACAATTTCCACGCAATCAAAGGAAAAGAACTGAAGAAACAGCAAACACTGAAAAAGGGAAAACAATAACTGGCTGTATCCAGGGATCCCTTTACTTTCAAAGTATTATCCCTTAATACAAAATCAATATTTAAACCACAAAAGAAGTGCTTACAATTTTCTCAAGAGGGGAATGTTTTGCATTCTTAGATATATGGAAATCAATCACAAGTGCGCCATATCCAGGCTACAATACAAAAGATCAATATTAACATATGCTCACATGAGTATAACAATAGATCTAAATTATAAAAGAAACTACCTTAGCTTCCAGGGAAGCAAGTATCTGCCCCATCTTCATCAATGGATAGAACCTGAAAAGAAGGGGGAAGAGTTTTCATATTATTCACTAGCATTGGCAGCAAAATATAACATTTCAGCATCGAAATGTAAAGAGATATTTTTAAAACAAGTGCAACAATCAAGACATAAAACTGTAAGATACTGACAACCTCACACTTCTTTACCTCAAATTTCTGCACATATTTATACACAAACATACATGCGTATATGTGAAGGGATATTTAAACACATATAGATTCAAGAGATAACAATGGCACACACCATTATTGTATAACTACTAAAATAATGCTGGCACCTGACATGCTCATGGTAATGAGAAGGGAGAGGATGAAAAAACCGAATAGAAAATGTGGGTTTCGGGAAATAACATGTCAGCATCAATAATTGATATCAGACTTGAATTTTTGAAGTATGTGATAACATGGCAATTCAAAATCAACAGGCATATCTCTGTTATCTTGCTTGGACAGGAAAAAATAAAATAAAATAAAAAACCAATTATGCCAAAAACTAGGGTTTGACATTAATATAATTTCTCTGTGATGTCCCAGCTTGAAGTCCAACATCTTTTGGCAAGTATCATTTTGAACAAAAGATTAAACATGGATATGGAAACATCATTGTTTCAAATAAAAATAAAAAGATAAAAGCCTCTACCTTGACATTATTGCCAAAATAGTTGAAAGTGAATCATTCAGTTCATTTTTAATATCTCCTGAGCTGCAAAAACAGCTGCCCACCTAGATATGAAGAAACAACAATTAGAAACAAAAAAGGTTGCACATCAATAAAGGGAGTCTAATGTAGTTGGTATCCACTATCTTTTTAAAGTCAGTGGTTATGAGGGCCAAGGTCAGAGGATCAAACCTCTACAATGGCACAGGCCTCAGAGCATTAACAATGTCTCACATGCCAAATTTAGAAAACTAAGAATGGGGTGTGTGTGTGAGAGAGAGAGAGAGAGTGAGAAAGAGAAGGCATTATTTAGGAATCAAACCTCACTGGCAAGAGTAAAAAGTTCTTGACTCTCTTTATCCGAAAACCAGCTCCTCTTACAGGCATTCTATCATGTACAAACAAAGTCATCAAGATGTTGAATATAAAAGCATATACTTCAGTTTTAAACACCTAATCATTAACAAATACTAATAGATGATTCAGCATTTAAAAATAAAAAGACATGTTAAAAGACATGGCAAAAACGAATGTAAGGAATAATTAAGTAAAATAATCTTCCACTAAACCATAGATACTATATTCACACACAGGAATGCAGGCACACATGCCCGAGCAATATAAAAGATAAACAGAAGTAAAATGAATTCGTTCATCTAAATAGACTATGATACATGACACACCAGAGTTCTGAGCAAGCGAAATTTAGAACCAAAGAAGTTATAAATCAGACATGATATCTTGTATTTGAAAAAAAAAATTCAAATACAGAGGATCAATTCTAATATATCTTTTAGCTAAATATAATGGTAAATAACAACTATAAAATGAATTAGCTTCAAGAATCAAAATAACAGCCAATGTGCAACACATGCACCTATGTGAACCATTATTTAAGGTACTGCTGAAGATTCGACTGATGACAAAACTAGCAACAAAGCTCAATATAGATGAAAGTATTCAGAAGTACCTTTACTGATATCATCAACACCATAATAGCTGCTTGTAAGAAGAGGTCATTTCTGCGTTGGCAAATCTGTAAAGCATAGAAAGTAGAAACAGATATGTAATATGCAGATTATTTGCATAGACAAAAATATAATATTATAAATTCCACACATTAGCTGATATGGAAACAGTTATTATGAGATGGAAGGAGTATATTTAAAAAAAATTTATTGCAAGTAACAGAAGTAATACTTAATTAATAAGATTAGATGTTAACATCTAAAGAATGCAACAGAAACCGTACCTGTTTGAACAATGTAGGTAACTCTTGTGCTTTGGCAGGAACCTCATTGTTTGCAATCGCAAAATCAATGCCTCTGTACATTTGAAAGCAAATACAGTCATATATCTATATATATTATGAAATAAAGAGTAACAATAAGCTCGATAAGTGTTCAAGTGCACTCAAATAATATTGGACGATGTAACAAGAAGCAGAGAAGAAAGTGAAAAACACCATGAACTAAAATACAAAGCTTATTCAAAACAAAATAGCAACAGCTTACACATGCAAAAGTAACTTCCATTATCAAAATTTGAACACAATAAAAGCATTCACCGCTTAGAATTCTCCTTAATCACCACTCTTCTTGCAGAGTTGGCAAACCCTAATGCGAAAATACACTCGCATGGACAAGCAAATATTAATTCACTCAATTAATCATCGAATCTTTTTTCCCAAACCTAAAGTACGTACATGGAAAATTAAAGCAAACAAAAGGGGAAAAAAGAGAGCTAAAATAAGAATTTAATGTATTCTTACTGGCCATACTCGTTCAAAAATAGGCGCAATTTCGTAACCAAAATAGTTAAAACTCTACTCAAATTTCACTACAAAATGGCACAAACAAAAACCTTCAAAAAAATAAAGTAAAATGAAGCAAAAGATAGCAATGTACAGATGTTGAGGAGCTTTTTATGGAACAACAGAAACGGAGATATATTATAAAAGAAAAGTGCCTAGCGAGAGAGAGGCAGAGGCTGAAGAACTCCGTGCTCTGAGGCTGTCCACCAGGCTGAGTGTGAGTAGCCAATCGCTCCGCCACTGCCGCCACTCGAAACGAATTCACTACTGACGCCGATAATGGTTGCCCCGGACCCAATTCCGACACCGTCGCCGCCGCTGGTGGCCCCATCGTTATTTTTCTTTTCTCCCTATGATGTCGAGTAAAGAGGGAAAAAACAACTAAGAATAAGAAGTTTCCAGTAGATTTTCCTTTTTCTGCAGTTTTTTGAATATGAAATTTAATTTATTTCAGGGGATTTTGAATTTGTATCTTTTGTGGTTGGAAAATAGGGCTTTGGTTGGCGTTAATTACCAAAATGCCGAAGCTGGATAATTGGTAATTTAGGAGAAGATCCTGCTGGAAAATCGGCGCCGTGCGTTCACGTCCAATGTAGCTTGCGAAGGAAGGAAACCGTTCGAAGTAGTTATAGGTTACACAGCTGGCAATTTAAACGTGGCAGTCTGTATAAAAGTACGGGTAAACTGTAAAAAAAAAATTACAGTAGTAATAAGTTTGATCAGGTGCAAATATAGCAAAAAAACAACGATGAGTCTAAGATTATCTTTATGTTAAAACTTCTGTTTTCACCACCTTTGTGAATTAGACAACATCATCCAAGCTTGTAATTCCTTTTTTACTATTACTACATGTGTTAACAGCCAAAATACTTTTTGTGTAGTACTAATGGGTAAACCACACTCTTTCATTGTCTTTTTGTTTAAAAAAAAAAAGATATGCATATGATGATTTTTATTTTTTTATTTTTATCTTCTGTAAAAATTTTAATTCTTTTTCATTAACTTATAAATATAAAACCTGAATCTTTAAATGACATTTTAATCGTTAAATATTATAATTTTTTATTTAAATATCTTATAATCATATAGAAATAATCTTTGTTTTTACGATATAACACAATAAATTAATATTAACTATTAAACTTGACTCACCTCCAAAAGAGTCATTGAAAACATTAATCATGTCTTTTTAAACTAAATTCGATATCTTTGATAGCTTTTCCATATTCTTAATATATGTAGATAAATGTGATTTTAATTTAAATAGCTCTATTTGTAGTTTTTTTGTTTCTTGGTTATTCTTTTTTGACCAACGTTTTTTTCTTTAGAGGGGTAAAAGTGATGGACTAATGGAATTCTTTGACCTTTTTATTATAGATTTTAAAAAATTATGAGATTTAGAATCAATATGCTATAAAATTTTTATTGGATTTTAAATATATTAAGAGTATTATTAAAATTCTAAACTTTAAAATCAATATATTATAAATTCTAAGCATTTTTGTGTAAATAGGGTTGAGTATATTCAAAAATTTAAACTTTGAAATTAATATATTATAAATAAATTATAGATAAATAAGATTGAGCTGGACCCAAATTATAGAAATTGGTTCTTCTAGGAGTCCGGTCCCGAACCCCTCTTCGAGCCCAACAGTCATAGGGCTTTGAAGCTGAAGAGCTCTGATGGAAATATCCTAGACCTGGAAGAGGACATCGCCGTGCTATCTGAATTGATCAATGGCGACCCTGGTGTGATCCCAGTAAAGAACGTGCACAGCGAGACCTTGGCGAGAGGCTCTAAGAATGGTGCAAGAAAAGTGTTCACCACACCAAGCACAAAAACAAACAAACAGCTGACAGGAAAGATGACTTCTACAAGATTGAGTTGTCAGCATCCTAGTATCTTGTCTTCGCTGCCAACTATTTCGAGGTCAAGGTTCAGCTGGACGAAACATGTGAAAGTGTTGCTGATATGATCAAACAAAGGAGGCCGGATAAGCATCAATTTCACTCTTGTTAAAGCATGTCACTGTCTTAATGCATGCTGCATGCATGTAATCAAAAGCTATATCGATAGTTTTGATTATATGACTTGGTTAAAGCCAATTCATCAAAATCTAAATAGAAAATCAACCAACAAGAATAGCCACCCTTCTTCATGACAATTCTTTTTTCTTTTTTGGGTTTTTGTATTCATTAGGAAGGAACAACTACCCCAACCAAAGCAACAGATGGTGAAAGTTATGATATGAAATGAAAATTGCGTACCTACACCAACTGAAATTCAACATACTGAAGTCAGAATTCCATTTTACATATGAAAAACAAAAACCCGAGTTCCAACTGATAACTGGGTGCCTTAGCTCTTCTCTTACGCCATTCCAATAACTTCACCTTCAATTTCTCCCTTCGCACTAAAACATGATCAAGCCAAGGCAGGCATCAGAGTTTGATTCTACAGAACACTGAATAGACATGAGGTAGAGAACAGACCGACCCCTTAGTTATGCACTTTGGACTTTATGAACACCAACGCATGCAATCTTAATCAGCCCTTCCCACCCTGAAAGAGAGGAGGTGAATGGGCAGAACTTGTTTAGCACCACAAAAACTAAAACAACATACATAAGGAAAGAAACACTTGCATCCAATTGCAATGAATCAAACTGTGAAGAAAAGATTTTCTCAAAAATGGACAATCTAGTTAGAAACTAAACTTCCATCACCAAAAAAGTGAACCTGGGGAAGGAAGTGCTTTATAAACCTACAAAAACTGGCTAAGCAAAGGGGATTTATAAGGCATTGAGAAAGCAGTTATCAATTGCAAAGAAAATCTTGATAGTAGATGGTTGAATCTGTTTCTCTCAGTGCCATGTTTCTTCATAGGGCCAAATAATTGATCCACTGCCCAGAAACAGCAGGATGCAATTATACATATCCTCTGGTGACTCAATTTTATATCTGATGCAATGAATATCACAACATGGAACTGCTCACCCTAATTTTAATGTCCAAGGGAAGTCAAAATAATAGACTTTTCATCATATTAATCTCATGTATTAATACAATGGTGTCAGGATAAAAAATGTCACAAGCCTGCAGAATGCATTGCCTTAATAGATGGTTTGCACCTGTCTGAAAGGTCAATTTATCAGTTCACAGTAACCAAGGTTTCATACCTTGTGAGGTGGAGTTCCTGGTCTTAATGCATTGTTGGTGAATCCAAACTTTCCTTTCTTCTCTGAAGATTTAAGGATCTGAAAAGAACACGTTAAAGTATCATCCACACTCATCATGGCGCCTGCATTGTCAAATTCACCACAGTAGTTTGGTGCAGAAAATATGGTCACCAGTTGCCGCTTTGCAAAGAACTCATAACCATCTTCTACAACCTGAATGAAACATAAAAACATAAAAAATGAGACGAAGAAAAATTCACAAGTCACTGAGAAAGTAAAACACGGATGCTCAGGTCTCTATTTTGGGAAGATACAAAAGTTATTTACTAGAATTTATTCAGTGCGCCCACATTATTATACTGGCAGTAACAGGAAGGTTTCAGGAACATAAATAGAAGTGCATCTGCTGACATACAAAGAGATCATCTATAATGATGTACTAAAAAGTTTCCAAATTGCCTATTATACCATCAAGTAATGCAAATTCAGCAAAAGAAATGTGAAAGCTTCCACGTATGTACACTGCAAGCCAATTAGGAAGGTTAATGCAAATGACAGTACCTGGTGAGCTCGGCAAACAAGATCAAGGTCATGTTTCTGAAGGAATTCAGAAACTTTATCAGCCCCAAATGTATATGAAACACCTCTATCATTCTCTCCCCAGCCTTCAACATCTTTATCAGGATCAGCCCATAGAAGATCACAGAGAAGGCCCTGATCTGGCACATCAACAGGGCGAGCAATGTTCCGGATCTGATCCAAGTTTGTCAAATCAGGAGATAATCCACCATGCATGCAAAGGATCTTCTCATCAATTAGAGCCGCAACAGGCAGGCAATTAAAGCAGTCTGTAAATATCTTCCAGACACGCACACTAAACCTTCTCTTGCACTCATCATAGAACCCATATATACGGTTGATTGATGCACATTCATGGTTGCCTCTAAGGAGAAAAAAATTCTCTTTGTATTTGATTTTGTATGCCAGGAGAAGACAAATTGTCTCAATGCTCTGCTTTCCACGATCAACATAATCACCTAGGAATAAATAGTTTGCTGCAGGAGGGTATCCACCATACTCAAACAGGCGTAGAAGATCTGAAAATTGACCATGAACATCTCCTGCCATAATAATATAAAAGGAAAAGCAGAATTATTACATGCTCAATTAGCTAAAACTTGCTAAACCAACAGGAATTGAATTACATCAATGCAAGCCAGCACAAGCACATTGATGCATGTCTGTGATATGGTGAATGAAGGTCAAGTTAGTGTGGCATTAAACATAAAATAAACTCAACTTGGAGACTTCCAAGCCCCTTGAGTGCCAAAAAGTTGCCAGAGACCTTAAGGACCAATGCAAAGGCCTTAAATAACTGAAAGTGCAATCCCATAGGCAACTAAAAAGAGCAGAAAAAGCTCATTTAAGGCCCAATAGCTTCGGCAACACCGTAACGCTTGAAGGCCCACAAAAAGCCACCACAAACTCTGATGAACCCTTACGTCATATATTGTACTGATGGCAACAAACTTACTAGACACCTCACCGCCACCCCAACACACACACACACACAGAAACATAAAGACTAAGAGAAGAAAGGAAGAGACAAGATGGACAAAGTCCAGCTTTATAGAAGGATGTAAAGGAACTAGTAAATAAACCAAATAGTGCAGCTTTCAAGTGTTATTTTAAGTTCAAGCAGACACAAAGACATTTCTAGCTCCACACAAAGATCAACACAACACTAGCAATCCTAGGACCTTTGTAAGATACCATCAGTCCACAAAAGCATACCTCTTCATAGTATGAAGTTCGAACTTTCCTTTACTATCACAATGAAGACAAGACTTTTTAGAAATGCTTTTATAATTTCCCACCACGTGGGGCATACAATTACTTTTCCTTCCCGATAGGACAAAAGGTCAACAACATTCCAAATTGAGACCCTTGGTATCAAAAAGTTGTCCCATGTCCACCAGACAGCAAATACCAATGTTCAATAGCAAAAATTGGGATCATAAACACCCTAATTGGTAAATAATACACCCAATCGCTTCTGAAAGTCTAAATATCATCTCATTACGTCAAATGGATAAAGCATGGGACACACAACTAGCTATAACAGAGTTGAGCCAAGTGATGTGCACAATCTATAGATCTTTTACACAAAATTCACCCACTAATGCTGCTTACAAAGCAACAACCAAGAGTTATATTATTGCAATATACCATATACGCGTGAGATTAAACTTTAGGCAAAACCTGTATATAATTAAATGCAAATCTCACATTTGAAAAATCTAGGCTACCAAACTAAGCACTTGGGTGATTTCCTCACGC